AAAACGCTAATCGATAAAAATTAAATTGATCAAAAACTGGCTCATTCATATTGCTTTCTTGCAAAATTCATTAATCATAGACTGAGTATATTTCAAAATCTCAATTGCTTAGTGTTGGACTTGTGCTTAAGGTAATAATTTCAGGTGCAAATCGCAATAGTTTTTTCTGACTATTGTGGCTTTTTACAAAGAAATAGCTGTTTGTATAGACCCTTGTTTGAAGGGAAAGTCATATAAATTGTAGCATAAAAAAGTGTGGACTGCTAATTATAATTTTCATTATAATTATAACTTCAATATAATTTTCAATTTTGCGACGTAATGGAAATAAATGTAAAATAAGAAGCCGTGCATGGAAATGGCGGCAATGTCCACCACGCAACCATGCAAATGTGTCGCAATAACATGAGGCGCAGGGTCGCACAGAAGATAAACAATCAAAGTGCCGATTTTATTTATTGTCGTCATTACAATACGCGACAAAGCGCTAAAATTCATGTGAATAGTTCTCTTGACAAGGAAACACCGTGATGAGGGCGAAAAGTGGCTATTATTCGAAAATCAGTCGAAAAAATATTCGAATTCTTTGATATCCTTGACTGTGATAATTACATATGGCGTGTTACGATTCATAGGGTCGGCTTATAATAAGCAAATTTTTATAAAATCGTCGTTTGAAAACCATTTTTTATGGAGTTATATGCGCGACCGGCGTATATATGCGAGAACTGTACTGATTTTTTTCACAAAAATAAACTTATATATACAGGTTGGGCCAAAAGTTTAGTTACAATTACTGTATTATGTGTCTGTGTTAACTGTAACCCCACTTTTGTCCACTCTGTAAATATGTAGAGTGTTAATTGCTTTCAACCTTTCCTTCAATACTGTTCAGCTTAGAACCAGATTCATCAAAAAGTTATTTAGTCAGATTCATCAAAAAGTGACTCATTTATAATGTTATCTCGCAAGAATCATTAACCGCTGTATCAAATCAATAATAGATGAAGTATATTTCAAAATCTCAATTGCCTTTGTGCCGAAAGTTATTAATTTTCGGTTCAAATCCTGAAAGATTTCAGTCTTTTTGAACTACTGTAGCTTTTTACATAAAAGTGATGCTTGTACAGACATCCATATAATTTTTGCCTAAAAGTATTCTCTTGTGTTGATTGCTAATTACTGACATTTTTTCATATATATATATATATGTAGAGTGCGAGTTGGTTTTAACTTTTCGATCAACTTTTCTGGTTTTAGCTGAGCAAAATTGTGAAAGTATTTTTCGTTAGTACTTTCACTATTTGACCTGTATTAGTGTTTAATATAAACCTTTTCTTGTCTATTTGCTTAAAAACATTTCATCAGTTTTGACACAAAACGTTTATTCTGGAATGTTATGTGTTTAATAGGTAACTAATCTGAGAATTTCACAAGAAATATGATTCATTGTTCAAATACATGTATGGAATTACGTAGTGTGACGGCTGACTAGTTTGTCTCGCAATTGTCATCTGATCAGATTTGAAATGTATGGTATCATGTTGTGTCACAGCTGACTAGTCTTGGCCATGCCACTGTTAACGGACCATATTGATTTATGTGTGTTTTGTTCAGCACGAGCTGGCTTTTAGTTCAGTTACCATTCAGTTTACTATAGTTTCACAATGAATAAAGTTAGGCCTATAATATAAAAGCAGTTGGTTTTAAAGCAAAAATTTAAGCAGTGTTGAATAGTTTTATCAAGCAAATGTTGTGTATCACAGTGCAATAATTTTCAAATTTTAATGTCATGGTGCCCCTGAAGATTTAGATTAGGCGTCGGCAACCTTTCGTCGCTCAAGCAGTCAAGCAGTGATACATTTGCTCTTAGCATCAACTTTTCTACATTTTGTTGCACAATAATGATTAAATTAAAGGCTCATTAAATGAGCAATTGTGAATTTTATTCTTGTTAGATTATAATATAATTTAGTCTAGACATGTCTTTTGTCTTTGTTGCCAATTTTGACAATTATTTATAGAGCCCCACAATAAACTTATAAAATTAAAACAACAAAAACATTGTTACTTTCCGATTAATTGTCCTAAGTAAATTTACTTTTTTTGATTGTTCGGATGTATTTACCGTTGTCAAATGTTATTAATGTCGTTATTTCTTATTTGGGTAGTAACAAAATTAATCGAATCAGTATTTTAATAAGCAAACGAATAGCTCGCGAAGCCGCTAGGTTTATCTAACGAAGCTCTGATGGCTTCGAGAACCTATGAAATAGTGCCCAGTTTTAATAAGGGTGGGTTTGGGGAAGCAGAGCTTTTGTGAAAAAAACTTGCCGAGGAATTATTTTGTAAATAAATCAAATGACTGTTATGATTATGATTTCAAGCTATTGAAACTTTACAGTGAGGCGTGAAAGCCTTATTAAATTTCTGGAAAGTGTGGAAAATTAAATCATTCCAATCACTGATTATCTTAACTGCGTATTTTCAAAACAATCTTATTGAATATACTTCAATTTTTATTGTTCTCTGTTTGCATGTCTCCAAATGAAAATATGTTGATATTACATAGGTGAAAATATTAATATGGAATGACTAAATTGTGAATTGTTTAATTTATGACATTCCTGGTTAGGGTAATAAGCTCAGAAAATTGGATTAGTCGCAAAATTGGTAGTTTGTGTAAAGCGTTGTCTCATAAAAGCCATTTGGGCGCTCCAGAAGTGTGTGTACCAATATGGAGTTAACAAAATTTGTTCGCCTACTTTACATCAAGTTGTGTTAAGGCATTGAAACCTATGAACAGGGGTATATTCACTTGGCTAACACAGACAGTCTTCGAACTCGTACTAGAACCAAAATAAGGAAAATCAGAATAAAATTATGACCTAGCCCTAATCTGGTACACACACTACGGGAGTGCCGTCATTTGTATGGTAGGCTATATTTTGGAATCATGATCACCAAGTGGTTGAAAGTGTTAGACTCCACTAATAATATCGGGTTCAATTCCCATGCTTACCATCTCAATCATGAATTATGTAGACATTGCCAGCATTGAGGGTCTGAACCCCCCTCTTGAAGTGTAAAAAGAAGCATTTTTCTGTAGCAAAATTGCATTTTTTCATATCTAAAAATGATTTTTAGACCCCCTTTGAATATTCTTGGCTAAGCCCCTGATTGCTGGATTAGGAAAATTCCTATCTTTGCAAATTATAGAAACTCTATACATAGAATGCCTATACAGAGCCTCGTTCAGAGTTAGAGTGATAACCTCATAAACTATTCTACCCTAAGGATAGGATAGGATTTACATATTTATCCCGGGGGAGAGGAAAGCCGATAAGACGGCTTATCCATATGGCGAACCACGGCCTCTCGTCTGGTTACCGGTCCATATCAGGTATCGGATTAGTTAGTTATTTGTTTTCTCAGGCATATACTTGATGGTGGAGGAAGCCGTAACCAACCAGAGCTTACATAAATCACCCTACAGCGGCAAGGAGTCCAGCAATCCTCTCGCACATAACTATTCCCACATGGGATTCGAACCTGCGAACCCATGCAAGGTAATCAGAGGTGCGATGACAAGCGTATTCCTAGCACTTAGCACGATGCGCCACATCCCAATGCGCAGAATACATATGCATTCATATACAGAAATATTCTCTTGTGTGAAATGCTGAATACTAATTGTTTTGTCACATAAACATTCATTTATAGATATAAATATATATATACATATAGAGCAGGGGTTCCCAAACCGCGGCCCGCGAGACGATTTCAAATGGCCCGCCGAACATTAGTGAAACTATAATCGTGAATAAATACTAACACGTTTAACAATTTAAATGTGTTCATCCTTTCATGTCGTAGATGCCGCCAATTGTTACCTCATTATCACAATTTAAGCACGTGTATATCGTAACAATTCAATTATACTGGCATCTTAACTTACGTACCGGTATTAGGATTGCGTACGGCAGTCTTTTAGGTATCACGTATCAGCCCTATATTAAGGAAGCTTGAAGATGTCACAAAAACGAAAACTAGACACTGAAAACAGGCGTTCTTCGGATAAATGGCAGCGTTCTTATTTCTTTATTGAAACGAATCAAACTTCAGCGATTTCTTTGCCAACAAACTATTCTTGTTCTATTCCTGTTAAACTACGGTCCAGACTGACAGATAATCACTTAGAGTGCGGTATTGCAAATACAATGTAACAAATTAGAGCCACGTTTTGAACATCAGTTTTCGAGCAAACCCCAATTACACGTATCTACAAAAATGCAAGTAAATTATGTTGGCTATTCGTTTTTTTTTTTTAATATTCAAATACATTAAGACGTTTTTTTGTTTAACATCGCTATCTGGGGTCATCTCTTATCTCTGGGGTCAACCTCTGTGTCAGTAGATAATATAGTTAGTACAACTGCAAAAACCATACTCACCAGAGATAACAGTTTTTTATAAAGTTCAACTACAAATTTAATTAGATAACAAACCTTGGGTGTCGCTGCCTGATATAATCAGTTCCCAGCGATTTCCCTTCCCAGTAAAATGTGTGTCAATTTTACTTTTTTCATAATTTCGTTTGTTATTTTTACTGGATGGAAAAAATAAACTTGACCATGATATGAGTAGACATTTGTACGAAGCCGTACTCCAGATGAGCAAGTAACTTCATTAGTCGCTATCAGTTACAAATCCTTTTTGAAAGTCGTGCTTGTTATTTCTCGGGTATTCTATCACCTAACTATTATACTTATGAATTTTGTTACATAACAAACTGCGATACTGGGTGTATCTAAAATCAATCTTGCAGCCTATTTTGGTGCCTATTTTTCAAAATTTATGTCGGGCTTTTTTGGTCATCCCGCCTTACTGGCCCGCGAGTATCCTCGCCTTGAAATTTTGGCCCGCGGCCAAATAAGTTTGGGAACCCCTGATATAGAGTGTCTGTGATTACGTATTCCATCAATACTGTTGCTGGTCTGAGCCTAGACATCGGATTCTTGTTTTTGAAGAAATTTTTGGAAAATAAAAACCTAATATTTGATTATTGGTGTTCATAACAAATCTACAAATATTTATAGAACACCGATGATAATCACACGAGCAAAAATCATGGTTGAGCGACGCTTGGCAATAATTGGAATTATGGCAGCACTGTGCATACAACTGGCCAACGGAGAACCTGTAGCAGAATATGGGCCAGTCTATGAAAAGGACATATGTAAGGCCGACTACATCAAAACAACCGATTGTAACACCATTGAACTCGACATCTTTAACGATGAATATTGTTGCAAGAAATGCCCTAATCTACAACAGAATCCGGACCCAGAACACAGCAATAGTTGTTCTTAGTGAGTATTATTTAGTTGAACGAAAAATACATTGTGTTCATAAGGTTCTGTATCAAATTAGGTAAAAGAACTTTGATGTGCTTTGTCCAACTAATCGTGGTCATAAAAGTGGGTTTTTTAACAGAATAAAAATAAAAACGAGAATATCGGTCGGAGACCGAATAACTGCGGATCGATCATAACTGCGGTTTCGATTCATGACACTATAGTGACACCGCATGTCCCATCACTAATTAATTAATAACTTGCTAATTATTCGACATAATTCATCCAAAATCAATAGGTTTCTGGTCCGAGATATGATGAATGCACATGCAAAATTTGGAGCTGATTCAACCTCGCCTTCGTGAGATATTGCGACCATCTAACAGACAGACAGACAGACAGACAAATATCTATTATCATACTTACCGATCTTCAGATCGATAAGTAACAAATTAAATATTAAAAAAAACTGTTTGAGATATATTGAGAACTGATTTCGCAACAAAATTTTGAAATTGTAATTTTAAAATTATGAATACCCTGTGCCTTACATTAGTAGAACAATTTACCTCTGACTAAAGTAAAGTAAGCAATTCTGCCGGTCATCCTTCACTGCTCACACAGCAGATTTGGCTTGGCAGTGTGGCAGATTGTGCTCAGTGTAAAAAATACGATATCTCACAAGAGCTAGGTTGAATCTGCTCCAAATTTTGCATGATACATTTATAATAAAATAATAAATAAATGCCAAATATTTAATCATATTTTAGTTATGCTTATCACAATTCTGTATAATCTTCACGGCTCACTTAGCAACTCAGCGCACCGTTTGGGAACCGCTTGGTTAAGTAATAACAGTATATCTTGTTTATACAATTTTTTATTGCAGCATTACAAAGCAACCGACGACCATGTTAAAAACCACAACTGTCAAACCCTCTACTACAGCTAGTCAAAGAGAAACAACAACGACAGATCGGAAAACAGCCCCGTATCTAGATGGTAAGTCAATCAATGAAACTATCTTTTAATACAGAGGTGGACAATTACTTTCCTGAGCCATTTGAAAATAAGGGCTAATAATAAGAAGCGCAAGCGCAAACAGTTGACATGATTTTCAACAATATTTTCAACAAAAATTTAATATTCATAAAAACTATAGTCTTAATTCCAGTAGGCACAAGTGAGTCGGATAAAACACTTCGGTGGGCTGGCTGTAATTTGCCCATCCCTGATTAAATACAAATGAGTTACGAGTGCAACGATTTTCACATAGAATTGCGGTAAGTACAGTGCACTAGTTTGGAAAGTTTCCATCCAAATTCAATTACAGTAGGTTTGCTTGTTTGGTAAACTTGCTACACTTAAAAGATCATTTTGTTTTGCGCCTTCGTCAGTATTAGGTTTGCTAACATATAAGTTTGTAGTTTATACCAGAGCGTAGACAGATATTTTCAAATAGGGGTTTCTGAAATTTCTAATTGCCAAGTTGAAATTTTGGGTGCCAAATTTCAGTACTTTTTGGGTGTTCAATTTTGACCACATATTCTTTATTTTGAATGAATGGCCCTATTAACTTTGGATGTGGGAAGATTACCATATAGAATATATCTTATTACTTATCGATTTTAATCGGTAAGTATGTTGATAGGTATTTGTTTGTCTGTCTGTCTGTCTGTTAGATGCACGCTATATCTCACGAAAGCGAGGTTGAATCTGCTCCAAATTTTGCATGTGCATTCATCGTAGCTCGGATCAGAAGCCGATTGATTTTAAATGAATTATGTCGTATAATTAGCGAGTTATTCATTAATTAGTGATAGGACACACGGTGTCACTATGGAGTAAGAGCGCTGTTTTGGGGGATCCCCCAACCTTCGATCGATAAATCTTCTGTTTCCGACCGATATTCTCGTATTTATAATTCAAGAGGTTTTTCGTCATTTACTCATATTTGCACTTTATTAAAAAAAATATTGAAATCGTAATGAACAACAGAATAGCGCTGTTTCGATAAACAAATAATCACTAGCTGGGGGGGCTATGTTTAGAATTCTGTTTCGTTAGTCTTCCACAAAACATTTTTCTGTCAACTCTTGAATCTCAAAGTTGGAGGCACTGGAATTTACATATTTATCCTGGGGAAAGGGAAGTCAATAAGATGGCTTAGTAATGATAGATGGCGAATCTTTGATAAAAATATTTGAGTAGCCCTGCCACAGTAGCCATTTTTATCATTGAAAACTATGTTTTGACAACCATTCACGCAAGAAAATGATGGATGTGATGGCCTAGAGCAGGGGATCCCAAGCTTTTTTCAGGACGACCCTAAATACAACTTTCAAGTGGCCAGTGCGACCCCAGGTCAATGTATATATTTTTCATGAAACCTCAAAGATTCTTTCACTGGACTTTTGAGTTTGATCATGTGGTGGTATTAAGTAAAATAAGCTAAAACCATACAGTGATGTCACAATAAGCACCTACATTTTCTATAGCATAAGCATAGAGCGATGCCTATAGGCCTGTTTTACAGTAAGCCATGGTACAAACTGCTAAATTTATCATGGTTTGTTAAATCTTAGATGTTTTGTACAGCCATCCTCTACCATACCTCAGCGATCCCATGAACTGTTTGCGACCCTACCTACTTATCACTCCGACCCAATTTGGGAGCGCGACCCCTGGTTTGGGAACTTCTGGCCTAGAGCAGGGGTGGGCAAGATTTTGAACCAGGGGCCAAAAGTTTTGCCTACCTAGACTGGTGGGCCATGTAAGTGTGATGAAAAAAGTTGCATTTCGTGAACAATCATTACACTGTTACAAAAGCAAAGATGGAAAACAATAAGCCTTGAGATAAAACTAAATTTAATCCCAGGCTCAACAAAATCCTTGAGCTATTTTTAGCTTGACATCAAAATTTGGTTTTAGTGGTTGTAGCAGCATCAGATGGGCTAGATTGAACTACTCAATGGACCAGATTTGGCTCGCGAGCCATAGATTGCACATGGCTGCTCTAGAGCATTGGTGGGCAATTTCTTTTTCCGGTGGGCAAGTTTCAAGTAATACATCTGGTTACTTAGCTGGAGACTCAAAACTCAATATGATACGCTATGAATAAAAAACTGTTTATTTACAAGAATTAGTTTAACAGTCAGATTAACATTTATTATAATAATAAGACACACAATGTAACAATCGGGGCCATTATGGCGCTATTTTCATTGATATTTTTGAAGGGAATTTATATTCATAAGAACTATAGACATGATTTCTAATTTAGTGTAGTCGTCAAATAAAACCTAGCCTGCGGGCGATAATTTGCCCACCCCTGGCCTGGAGGTTAGAGTGACAGATTTCAGCATGTTTGTGCCACAGTTGCAAAGTACGAGCGACCACTAAAATGCTATGACCAACTGTAGCTAAAAAAACCTACAATATTTTACAATGGTGACCGTACATTTGAACCCATGTCCATATCCGCGGTTTCAATCAATATGCGGGTGCTGGAACCCATGGGTTAGGGTTAGTATTGTTTCAACTATCCGTACAACAAAAAAATTTCCATAGATGCAATAGTATGCAGGTGCAATTGTCATGGGTTCAAATGTACGTGGGTTCAAATGTAATTGAACCTTTTACAATACAATTTTTTTCAAACCTACGACAGTTATTAATATATTTAACATTACAATTTATTTCAGATCCTACAACAACAGCAGTTTCCATTCCACAAAAAATCACTACAGAACAAGATACGAAGGATGATATTGATCCGCCATTGGTTACAGCTACAAAATTGCCTGGCGCAACCATTGCATGGATTGTTGCCAGTGTGATTATTTGTATGATAATAGCAGCCCTAGCAGTGTATTGCTATTGCAAAAAAAAGCGTCAGAATACTGCGATAGAAGACAAGCCTTTGCCAGTTGATGAAGAAAATCCCTTGGTGCCCGATCCACAGCAGGCAGATGAACAGTAAAAATGACACATATCTTTCAAAGTCTCACTCGTGTTAGATTGCAGCTAGTATTTTGAATTACTGGTTTTATTTTTTTTTTTCATTTAGTTTTTATTTGATGTTATCCTATAAAAGGTATTCATGAGCGTGTCAAAGTCAGGCGGATCCATTGTCCCCCATCTGAAGATAACAATATTAAAATAAAAAAAATGGAATAAAAATAAAATAAAAATATTAAACATAAAAAAAAATAAAAAAACGATATAGTTCTTGCAAAAAAATTTTCGTTTTTATTTTATCATGTTTGCGCAGAAATTTTGGTGTGTGCGCACTTTTTTGGAAATGCGTAATATTTGTGCAAAAACCAATGAAGATTTTTTGGCGTTCTAACCGGGTAATAAGTGGGCCAACAACAAACTTTATCAACCTGCCAATTGAGAACATTGTTACATTACATCGAAATACATCTGTGCGCAGTAAATCTATGCGTGGGCGCAACCTTCTGAAAACTGTGTGCACACGCACATTTTAGAGGGAACACTGCCCTTGGCTATGTGAAAACAATTATTACTGAAAGGATTGATCTCGAAACTTCTTAAACTGAATTCTATCTTTTGTCTGAAATTCCTTACATTGCAGACCATACTTTTGTTTTTGTCCCATCTGCCATACACAACATAGAGTGCAATAATACAGTATAGCAATAGAAGAGTAGAATAATATTATTGATTGAAAGAAAAATGCCTGAAAACTGCATTTCACTGCTGAAAATTTTGTTTATTATTAGTTGATATTTTAAGGAAATACACTTGGTCACAAGCACTCACTCAGAAGTTAAGAAGATCATTCATTCTCCTAGAGACATTACGGGTGATTAAGGAAAATGAAAATGCTAATGGATCAAAAATCATTACCTTCATTAGCCCTACTTTTTTCATTATAGCGTGGAATTGTTCGATTTTATTAATGTAATATTGATTACAACTTTTTTCTTAGTCAATTGATAGAGTGATGCACTAGAAAATATGGAACTTTGAACATTATTATGAATTTTCTCAAATTTTTGTTAATTAATACTTAATAGTACCATAAAGAAATTTTGTGATCAGCATGGCTGAGATAAGCATTGTTTTCTAGTCATGAATTGAATGAAGCCCGTTTTATGTCTGGCAACTAGATGCCAAATGCTATTACAACTATAAATAATCGACTAAGTCATACTAATTTACTACAGCCTAGTATATAACACCCAATTTAGACTCCAAGTCCCGAGTATTTATTGCAACTTACCATAATACAGTGTTCTTTAAAATAGGAATTTTTTTTAGGGAATATTTTCACATTTTTATTGGTTTTAGGCCCCACAGAAACAGTTGCTAATATAAAGCTGCTATGTTGAGAGATAGAAAACACTGATTTTGGACACAAAGCATTTCCCTAGCATTTTTTTTTTTGTCGTTATAAAAAAATCTCTTTTCTTTTCAACTACTGGACCAATTAGTTTGAAATTTTCAGGCTATTACTTTCATTTATTTCTAAAACTTCTGTGGGCTTTATGACATTTGTTTTTGTGTGTGCGATCTTGTCATCAGAATTTAAAAATGCGCACCGTGTCGTGGTTCTGTGACTGCATTTCAGCGATCTCGTAATCAGACTACTGGTACTGTAAAAGATTTGATGCTACTCGTTTTGGCCTTTGTGTCCATAAATTTGAGCATAGCTTTCTTGTTTGATATAGATTACCCATTTTTATAACATGCTTTTTGGTCTTTTACATCCATTGCTACTTTTAATAGTCTTTTGGGGAGTTCAATTCCAAATTCAATCCGAATCTAATCTGAGTGTTGAGAGCGGATTTTTCAAAATTTCAATGTTTCAAAATTAAAAACCGAACTGATGGTCGATCAAAAATACATACCTAAGTATTTTTAGTAAATTTACCATCCTGTACAAAGGTATTGTTTACTGATAGAGCGTCCTCTACATTCTAAAAAGGGTGGTGCAAACCATCTGAATCACACCATTCATTGCATCCCAATTCAATATCATTATTGAGTATACCTGAGTATACTTCATAAACCTCTCACAATTTGAATGCTGCCTATTTTTTTTTCATATTTCCTGGGAATGACTACTCAAACGTGATACGGCACACAAAAACTAGCGATCTCACGTTTGCCATTCCATCAAAAGACACTTTGCATTCCATCTACTGCGGTTACCTCATCAGTGGGTTTTTGGGTTGCCCTGTAGTATAAAATGAAATATACAAGCAAAATACAAATGAGCAAAGCTTCACTCTAATTTGGCCTTATTTTATAGCTACTAAAACTATTGCCTTTGTTTAACTCAACCCTTTAAGATCCAAACATCAATCCATTTTTTACCTAAATCATTTTTATTTGTGAATTAAATAGATCCTAAACCTTACACAGAGTAAATGTTCAAATCCACAAAAATGTTTAAATTGTTCTTGCTTGATTTGTGATGAACGGCCTATCCTTCTTTCCTTGTTTCTTCTACTGCTATGTGTCACCATACTTTATAACATACTTTGTACAAAGCTTTCAGTAGAGCAGTGGTTTACAACCAGGGTTTGCCAGCATCCCAGTTGATCGGTTTTTCAAGGTTCAAAATTTGAACCTCAAATTGAATTCTGGGGTCTGTATTAATATATGTATATTGTTTAAATATAGTTAAATATCTATCAGTATTATCACTGATAGTCACAAATAGTATTATCACCAACTTGCACACTTGAAAGATCATTTTGTTTTGTCAATATTACGTTTGCTTTTATATGGTGAGGGTACATTTGAACCCACGTACATTTGAACCCATGTCTATATCCGCGGGTTCAATCAATATGCGGGTGCTGAAACCCATGGGTTAGGGTTAGTATGGGTTCAACTATCCGTACAACAACAAAATTTCCATAGGTGCAATAGTATGCAGGTGCAATTGTCATGGGTTCAAATGTACGTGGGTTCAAATGTAATGGAACCCTTTTATATATATTAATAGTTTACACAATTAATCAAATGGTGTTTTTTGCATAAGACAATTAAACTATTGCACAGGGAATGTTTCATTAAGGGTTGCTTTAAAAAGGTTGAAAACCAATGCAATAGGATTTACTGTAAATTGTTAAGGTATAGCAATCAGCTCGTCAAAATTGTTTATTATTAGTTGATATTTTAAGGAAATTCACTTGGTCACAAGCACTCACTCAGAAGTTAAGAAGATCATTCATTCTCCTAGAGACATTACGGGTGATTAAGGAAAATGAAAATGCTAATGGATCAAAAATCATTACCTTCATTAGCCCTACTTTTTTCATTATAGCGTGGAATTGTTCGATTTTATTAATGTAATATTGATTACAACTTTTTTCTTAGTCAATTGATAGAGTGATGCACTAGAAAATATGGAACTTTGAACATTATTATGAATTTTCTAAAATTTTTGTTAATTAATACTTAATAGTACCATAATTAAATTTTGTGATCAGCATGGCTGAGATAAGCATTGTTTTCAAGTCATGAATTGAATGAAGCCCGTTTTATGTCTGGCAACTAGATGCCAAATGCTTTTACAACTATAAATAATCGACTAAGTCATACTGATTTAATACAGCCTAGTGTATAACACCCAATTTAGACTCCAAGTCCCCAGTATTTATTGCAACTTACCATAATACAGTGTTCTTTAAAATAGGAATTTTTTTTAGGGAATATTTTCACATTTTTATTGGTTTTAGGCCCCACAGAAACAGTTGCTAATATAAAGCTGCTATGTTGAGAGATAGAAAACACTGATTTTGGACACAAAGCATTTCCCTAGCATTTTTTTTTTGTCGTTATAAAAAAATCTCTTTTTTTTTTTTAACTACTGGACCAATTAGTTTGAAATTTTCAGGCTATTACTTTCATTTATTTCTAAAATTTCTGTGGGCTTTATGAGATTTGTTTTTGTATGTGCGATCTTGTCATCGGAATTAAAAAATGCGCACCGTGTCGTGGTTCTGTGACTGCATTTCAGCGATCTCATAATCAGACTACTGATACTGTAAAAGATTTGATGATACTTCGTTTTGGCTGTTGTGCCTATAAATTTGAGCATAGCTTTCTTGTTTGATATAGCTTACCCATTTTTATAACATGCTTTTTGGTCTTTTACATCCATTGCTACTTTTAATAGTCTTTTGGGGAGTTCAATTCCAAATTCAATTCGAATCTAATCTGAGTGTTGAGAGCGGATTTTTCAAAATTTCAATGTTTCAAAATTAAAAACCGAACTGATGGTCGATCAAAAATACATACCTAAGTATTTTTAGTAAATTTACCATCCTGTACAAAGGTATTGTTTACTGATAGAGCGTCCCCTACATTCTAAAAAGGGTGGTGCAAACCATCTGAATCACACCATTCATTGCTTCCCAATTCAATATCATTATTGAGTATACCTGAGTATACTTCATAAACCTCTCACAATTTGAATGCTGCCTATTTTTTTTTCATATTTCCTGGGAATGACTACTCAAACGTGATACGGCACACAAAAACTAGCGATCTCACGTTTGCCATTCCATCAAAGGTCACTTTGCATTCCATCTACTGCGGTTTCCACGGTTACCCCATCAGTGGGTTTTTGGGTTGCCCTTTAGTATAAAATGAAATATACAAGCAAAATACAAATGAGCAAAGCTTCACTCTAATTTGGCCTTATTTTATAGCTACTAAAACTATTGCCTTTGTTTTACTCAACCCTTTGAGATCCCCGACCAAACATCAATCCATTTTTTACCTAAAACATTTTTATTTGAGAATCAAACAGATCTTAAACCTTACACAGAGTAAATGTTCAAATCCACAAAAATGTTTAAATTGTTCTTGCTTGATTTGTGATGAACGGCCTATCCTTCTTTCCTTGTTTCTTCTACTGCTATGTGTCACCATACTTTATAACATACTTTGTACAAAGCTTTCACTAGAACAGTGGTTTACAACCAGGGTTTGCCAGCATCCCAGTTGATCGGTTTTTCAAGGTTCAATTTGAATTCTGGAGTCTGTATTAATATATGTATATTGTTTAAATATAGTTAAATATCTATCAGTATTATCACTGATAGTCACAAATAGTATTATCACCAACTTGCACACTTGAAAAATCATTTTGTTTTGTCAATATTACGTTTGCTTTTATATGGTGACCGTACATTTGAACCCACGTACATTTGAACCCATGTCTATATCCGCGGGTTCAATCAATATGCGGGTG